TGGCGCGAGGGCTTGTGTTGAAAAAAAAAAGAGTGTGGACGGCTGCAGGCAATCATAGGGGCTTCCTTTTTTTTTCTCTGCAGCATTGTGAAACGTGACTATAGCTTGCAGAATCAACGTGACTATGGCCCGTATTCACAAACGCTCCTTCACTTAAGGGCTCCCCTCGACTTGACGAAGTCAAGGTGGAGCGTGCTCCTCCACTCAAGGGGCCGCTGCGTTTCATGAACGCTCCTCCACACTTCCTTCGCCAAGGGAGGCCTTGGAAAAGCTCCCTTCACTTGAGTGAACTGCATGCGCCGAGAAAAGCGCCTGATAACGAGAGTATTCGCAATTGTGGTTAAGAATTGCCTATCTCTGTACATTAAAAGAATGCTTTTTCTAGTTATTCTTTTTTCTAAATTGATATTACAGCAAAATACGTGCATTTAGAGTGGTAGTGTTGTTTCCTTAAGCCTTGTGCCGATAGAGTTAGCGAAACACTGCTTTAAGTCTGGCAACAGTCACACCCAGGCAGCTGAACGAACAGCTGTTGACATTTCGTCTGCTGCTAAACGTGTCTACCTGCTTAGTTTATTTTGTCTTGTATGCGTCTATTAATTGGAGATTATATTTACGGTAGTTTTTGCGTGTGTGTCGTTTGAGAGCCCACTTTCGCCGGGGTGACTAACGAACTACGTGAGTGATGACAGGAAGCGCAATAGATGGTTTGTTGCTTTGTTTACTTTCGCTTTACTGAGAGCCTTCTGATCACTAATGTAGCCACCGAATGTATAACGCGGTGGAATGAGTATTTTTTTACTATATATCACATTATATTGGCGTGCTTTTAGCATTCACCACGACATTATGTATAAGAATTACTCGTACGTAAATTCGTTCTCGCTACGGGAGTATGTGCACAGTTGCTAATTTCAGGGGCCTGTGCAATGTTTATTTTTCTCATTTACTGCGAATTTTATCGTGGCGCTTTCGTAGTTGTTCCTCTGCGTATAATAGGAAATTTGAAAGACATTGCTCGCAACTGATGTTCAAGGTTATACCAGGGTAGCGTTAAAAACTAGGCATGTTATACTCGTGGCTGCGCGTTCGAATTAGACTGCTACGCAAGGTAAGAAAAGCGATCGTGTGCCTTTCTTTCACTATTGGCGAAAAATACATTGTAAAGTTGTTTTCTTCATTTAGAATCATATATAGTCAGTTAACAGGGACTGGTGTGTGTGTGTGTGTGTCAACTTTAACATTTTAAACTTCCAAGGAATAAGTTATCGTTTATTCATTGTTTTTCTATTTGCCCTGCATTTGTGGATGCGTCTAATTTGACAGATTCGCATAGACGTAACCTTTAAATTTGTGTAGCTTCCGTCTCCAAGTTCACACAGCGGCAACGTCCTAAATTTTTTTCCCGTCTCCTTCATCGGCATGCTCAGAAGCACAATAGTTAGTGCCTGAATGACCTTCGCACTAAAGTTTTGGATTTTATTTGCAATACAACTACTGGAAATACCGGTTGAAAAGAATCGTGGTGTCTGTGCTGCATTCCAAAGCCCCGGCACAACATAAATTATAGGGGATGTTTTATTTTTTTGGAAATCATAAAATTCAAGCCGCGTCTGACTTTTGGCGCTGTTCTGTTTTAAAAACTATCCTGTGGGTTCTCTCAACCTTCGAGAAAGTGTCGTCAAGAGCAGCGTATATTATTCTGCTGATTTATTGAAGACCAGTGCAAAAAGCGGTGAAAAATGCTCAAGAGTATTGCAGTCATCACGGATACATCTGGTCAGAACCCTGTAAATAAAATATCCGCTATCGCTGCATCATTAGCAAGTCTACCAGTTAGAACCACGCCATCTCAGTTCCGTGGAAGAGGAGTGGTGCTGCTTTATATAAAACAAGTTTAATTTTCCTAGAACTGCTTTCCTGTAGAATCGGAGAAGTGGGTTTTGCGGTCCTGTCTCATCATGAAAAGACAAACATGATGATAATTATGTATTAATAAATGAACAAAACAGAAGTTGTGAATGGCAAATGGACCTTTATTACATGTGGCTGATGAGGAGCAACGTGGCAAACATAACAAACATATGCAACTTACACACTGTAAGCATATGCATATACATATGCATATACATATTATCAAACATATGCAACCTACACACTGTAAAGATAAAGTACGAGCTCGGAGGACATCATAAATAAGATTAAGGAAGTAGACGCCATAGCGCGCCTAATGCAGTGTAGCTGCACGCATTCACTGCTGTTTTTGTGCTTTCGTATACAGTCGTGCAAACTCTGCAATACATTGATAATACGGCAGATTTTAGGAGGCCTTTTCTCTGTGTTCTTCTGTCGGCAGCTGGTCCCCTGCACAAAAGAGGCAAGAAATAATATTAGAAAAACGTAATAGCTTGGATACAAAAGCCGCATTTTTCTTTAATTCTAACGGTGCACACATTCATTAGTATGTCTCGCGTTCAAGAACAGACATGGTTGAAGTATTGAGCTTTGACTATTTTGACACATGTTTGGCTCAGGCACTTGGGCAGCTGACCAGGCATATGGGTATATAATTTCAATATATAATTGCACGAATCAGTGCCATATCCAGCAATTCTTCTTCGGGGGGAAGGAATGGGGTTAAAATAAAAAAAACAATCTCATTATGTATCTGCTGTATTTATATTTCATATATTTGCGTTTTCATTCGACACTCGACGCACGTTTGCCTACATGCACGTTTCACAGAGCATGATCATCTGCTTGACCCCCTAATTGTGTATTTGGTTGTTCATTGGTATTGTGAACTGCATAGACACTGCATAAAGAAGCTGTGTTTCACGCGTAGTAGCTACAGCGGCACACTCATTGCGCCCAATGTATTGTGTTGTGCTTTTCCTAAACTGTCTTTAATAGTAATCTCACCGAAGCAGGAAAAAAATAAAAAACACGGAAGAACTTACCTTCTCATTGGTACAGATGGTCGTCTAACGGAGGTGTGCTTCGTCGTAAATTTCTGCTAGGGCAGCAAAGGTTCACCGGAGAGGAAGCCACTCTAAAGTACGGTGAACCCAGCGCATCAAAAGTTAGCTATGCTGCTTGCTTGTCAAGCTTTCGCACCACGCTTGAACTGATGCGGTGTGCGAGCTTCATCAAAACACTTCAAAGCACTGGCATCCGCAATAAGTCATAGAGCACTCGCACGAGGAGTATACGCACACCGGAAGGCAGGTAATCCACTGGCTCATGCAAGGAACGCAACACATCACGGCACTGGTGAGTGCTCCTCTTGACACCACGCCCGCTTGTCCCGGCGCCACACTAGCCGTTGCTGAACCGTTCGAAAACAGCTCCGTAGTAAACGCGCAACGTCATTGTCGAAAGAACGCGGCGGTGGCAGGCAAATTTATCGATCAACGCCGTCACAGCGAGACGGGCTCCGCCATGGACGCGATGCTGGCGCAAATATTTCACTCGAGGGACGGTTCAAGGTAGCTTGATCGCTTCCTTGACAATCTCGAGGAAACGCTCAAGATTTTCGCAAATGAAGGAAGCGTTTCAAGTGAAGGGCGGTTTGTGAATGGGAAAACGCCACTTAAGGAGCGTTTCGAGTGAAGGGTCGAGTGGAGGAGCGTTTGTGAATACGGGCCTATAGCTTGCAGAATAAACTGCACGTGGCAAACTTTAAGAGCATCTTTCGTAACTCGCTGATCTCGGTGGCGACGTGCTACGCGAAGAACCCAGCATCGGCGAGATCATACTGAAGTATAGGTGACGATGGTGCGCTGGTAGCATACGTATTTTTGTGCGCCGTTTACCAGTAATTTATGCTATCATTGTTGTTGTTTTTTCATGTCCGAAAGCCGTGAGATATTATGATTGCGAGAAGTGCTATAGAGGAAGGCTTCGAGAATTTTGACCATCTGGTGCATTTTAACGTGCCCTAAAGGTCTGACCTGTAGCGTTCGCCTCCATGGAAAATGTGGCCGCCGCAGACGGGATTCGAACCCGCGATCTTCGAATCAGCTGCCGAGCATCCGATAGCCACTAGACCACCGTGGCGGGTAATGATTGATGTTCTCTGCAGTGACTTGTGATTTCGCGTTGTCACATCTCGCTCTGGCGTGGATATTGCCACGGGGTCGTGATGGCGACGAAGGGAGCAGACTCTAGATCGAAGGTCAAACTGTTCATGCGGCCGAAGTTGTGGCTGGTCAACGAAAAGTCAGATTACAGTGATACACATTGGCACTGATAGTGGTGAACAGAGCGTCGGCCGTCGATCGACTGGCAAGCGGCGAAGCGCGTCGGCATTTATACATGTGCCGTCGAATATTCCAGCGTTATCGCTGGTAGCCACGTATGTTCCAGAATAATCTGTAATGTACGCGCTGCGCGCGTAATATTGGCAAGATGGTCTTCGACAGTCCCAAAGCTTCTTGAACAGTGTCAGGCGCGGTTTGCGCAGAGTGTAACGGGGCGATAACAAAAGTTCGCGAAGGAATGTGGCAATATGAATGCGTTACCTCCCTCCGTTTTTGCCTGTAGAAACGGAAGTGTTGTGCTCTAAGCACGGGGATGATAGTCCACGTGCTCAGAACACTTGTCCACCAGCCACGAGCTTAAACTATCAGCCGTGTTTCCAGCAGTACCGGGAAAGCCTCGTTTTGACGGATGTGAAATGGTATTGGCCAAAACAAGATGCACCATAGTTCTATGAAGAAAAAAAAGTTCAGTTGATACGCAGAACTAGATTAAACCATGATTTCAAGTGCAGAGGTGCCGTAAAGAGCGCACTTTTTCTTCACAGTGGACTTATAGGTGGCTTGCTGCAAAACGGGTGTCGTCTGGGATTGCCGTTTTAAGTGATACGGATACTCTGCGATGCCGTGTCCAGTTTTTCCAAAAGTTGTCACGCGTATAATTAGGGCGTTCACTGTCTTCCTCGCCGTTCCCCGCAACTTTCACATTGTACTGAGTATGTCTTCATGTTCTCTTGACAGGTGGTGTAGCCGCTGTACCCTGGTTGGCTTAAGACTGGGGATTCGCGCTTCTTCAGGAGACCTCAGACTAAACCCAGCCGTCTGCTAGTCAATCCGAAGTCATGAGCGTCTACAACGTGCGATCGTCTCAGACGGTCGCCACCGCCTACTTCAGCCTGGACGCCGCGGCGCGAGCCTGCCTCGACCCGTTCGTGCCCATCTTCCTGCGTCACCACGGGCTGACCGCGCTTCAAGCTGGTTTCGTTCTCTCCGCGGCCGCCATCGTGTCCGGGCTGTTCGTCCCCGCCGCACTGTGGCTGCCCAGGTGGCGCCGCAACAGTTGGCGCTCCGTACTGCTGGCCAGCAGTATCGTCTCGATCGTTTGCTACCTGTCCCTGTTGGCGATACCGCCTATGACGACGGTGGGAGGCGATTGGGTATCGCCGTGTCGAACGTCCGAGTCGGCACGTGGCAAGCACGCGGACGTCGATTCGGCGGACGGATCGATAGCTTTGATGCAGGGAGGGCACGGCGGTGGTAAAGACACTCCTCAGGACACAGCCGATGGTATTCAGGGAGAGTCGAAGAATGGAAGCGGGAAACTGTTTCCGGCGCCCCCTCCGACCTACGAACTGCTGCCGACGGCCGTCCCTCTGGTTGCAGGCCCGGCCTACCTTCTGTCGTCGCGCGAAGCAAAGGGTGTGGAAGTGCGACAACACTCGCGAGTTCTACGAGCAGCCAACGTGTCTGACGAAGAAGGCGACGTGGTTGAAGTTCCGATGCGTCCTCAAGGTACCGCGTCCCCTGAAGCCGTGAAGAACGGATCTAAGGACGCCCCGTCGCCTTCCCTCGATGGAGTCGTCATACCTGTCAAGAAAAAGAAGGGTATGCCTCCGGCACCAGCCGTGAATCCGGATTGTGAGGGTGATCGGACGAGTCCGGAATGCCAGCTGATGACCCACGGTGAGGACGCCGACGATGATGGCTCGAGGAATAGCGATTCGTTCATGAACAACGCCTCGTTGCTGCTTCTGGCTGCGGCCGTCCTGCTCGGAAGCTCGACGTTCGCGCTGGCCAAGTTCGTCGCGGACGAGTCGTACTTCGCATTCCTAGACGAGATCGACGCCACGGAGAAGTCTCGGAGCCACGAGACGTACGCGGCAATTGTCAGCGCCCTCGTTCTGGGTGCCGTCGCCATCTTGGCCTCGCAGGCGCCCTGCCTTCCACTTCCGACATGGGGATATCAGGAGGTCTACCTGGCAGCCTTCGGCACGCTCGTGTTTGCTTCCCTGCCACTGGCCGCCTTCTTTCCCGAGCCTCACCAACCGCTGCGTCGTCAGGCGACCTCCGGGGCGTGTCGCGGCGTCGGTTCGATGCTCAAGAACGTCGAGGGAGCCCTGATCGTAGGTGGCCTCTTCTTCCTGGGGTTGCTGGCAGGCCTGGAGCAGGCCTTCTTCATGTGGCACCTGGAGGAAACCGGCAAAAAGGTCGAGCTCGGCGTCGTCATCATGGCCAGGGCCGTGTCCAACGTGGCCTCGCTGTTCTTGCTCTGCGCCGGCGGTCTTCCCAGCCGTCTGCTGGCTTGGCTCGCCTTCGGCATCGTGTGCGTAGCGGCCCGCTGCGCCTGCTACGTGCAGTCGGGTTGGGAGCTGGCTGCCGTAGCCCAGCTCCTGTCCCCGCCGTCTACAGTGCTCGTCTGGGTCGCCTGCGAGCGGTGGGCACGGCGTTCTTCGACCAGACTGAGCACCGAGCGCGGACTGCTGGTCGTGATGCGCTGCTGTCACAACGGTTTGGGCTTCTGCGTCGGTGCCCTGACCGGAGGTGGAATTGCGTCGTGGCTCGGTGTCCGCAGCACACTGGGAGTGGGTGCAGTGGTTGGGATCATCGGCGGATTGGCCATGTTGGCCGCTAGCCGGTTCGTTGCCGGCCGTCCGCCCAGCTACGACCGGTTGCTGTGGGACCCGACGAGTGCCAACTCGGACAGCGAGTCCGAGGAAGAGCCCAAGATGGCTGGTGATGCCGGTGTGCCCGTTACGGTGACGCCAGTAACTTCGTGATCTCGTTATTTTTGCCTCGCCAAATTACACATATCCATGAGCAAACGTTGACCTCCGGTGTTAACCGAGTGCGGGGGTGACGTGTGTGTAAGCGGCGCTTTTTTTTGTTTGCGAGATTTCGGCGTTTTTGTAACTAAGATAGCCGGATAACAGGGTTGCCACTTGCAGAGGCAACGCTCCGTACGTGTACATTCTAGTCTTGTTGCACATACTGTTTGCCGATCGTCACATCCTCCCTGTCTCGTGGTACCGCCGCATATAGCACACTGACATCCAGCCGTGAAAGTCACCGCAGGCTCACAGCTGTTCTGACGTGATCAAATTCTAGCACACAGCGCGCGGTTATTCCTATCTCGCTGTGTCCACATATATATCAAAGTAAATGACGTCACCAATATAAATTTTGCCCTACAGTTATCTCTAAAACTGCGCGTGTGACACGGCGAAATGTGGCTTGCATCCCCTAGTCCGAACAAAAGTCTTGACACTGAAAGCATGTAAATCACATTGCAGTGAAGTTTGGTTTTGTTTTTAAAAATATCATAGAGCTTCAGAATCGCACATTCGTTGGTCAATTTGGTGCTTTGGGCATTAGTTAGGTGGTGCGCCAGTCTTAAGTCGTCTTGAGATAAACATTCATAGAATACGTTTCTCTCATAACCTTTCACCTCTCCCAATGAGAGAAAATTTTCTTTCTTCGAACCGTTCTCTTGAATCACGTACACTGTTTCGAATTTCATATTACGCTTTTAACACATTTACAGCTGTTTTCACGCACGAATTGGGCCCATATTTTGGCACTTGCATCTCATATTCCTAATATTGTGCCCAACATTCAAGCGAGAAAAACTTGAAATTACCTTCTGCTTCCTAATCTGTTGATGTGATACGCTGATCCACAGAGCGTCAACAGCTTTCTTTAGCATAGTCACCAAGTCAAGGGCATTTCCTCTTTTCAAGGTTATCTCGCTCTGTGTGAGACACATGCAGTCGAACTTTGGTTAGCGCTCACCAAAGCCATTGTTTATCGTGCATGTATCCGTGCTGGCATTTAGGTTATTCGGGCTAAATGTATGCACTTGGAACACTCAAGTGGCATGTGCATAATCCTTCGAAAGAAATTGCTGCGTGACTCATCCGGATGATCTTCGTGTGCATTGTCTTGTGTGGTCACGTGGCAAAATAACATCGCTATCACGGTAGATCAAGAAAGTGAGATGACGGAGTTTTCTAGAGAGCTCTATTGCAAAAGAACGCGAAGTGCCTTTTTTTTTCAGAGCGTGGCCTCCGCGATTACCTATGGCAGCACGGCGTTTTGCCGGAGCTGATCCCGGAGGCCACTTTAGAGACCGCTGTTGCGCTGTCTATGAGCGCGGGTCAGTCGCGTCACAAGTGTTTCCCCTTCTAGTCAAGAGCTGTAGTTCCCGATATTTTGGTCGTACTGTAAGTACCTACGCAGAGTACTTTTATGGAAAGTGTCGCCGCGTGTGTACAATTGGGTGGTTTGTTTGTAAAATAAAACCATTGCGTGAAAGCAGAAACAAAGTGCGCTTTGTCGGCAACACTTCAGCATGGGCATGCTGTTTCGCAACTTTCTGTGCATTAATTAGCTGAAAGTGGACAATCTGAAAACTCTTAAAAAATTGGGGGATCCTTAAGCTTTGCCTTTAGGAGTTAAACGCGAGAACGAAATCTGGCCCCTAGTGCGCCATTCAACCGCTAAGTGCATGCATATTATGTTTTGTTACACACATGCAGACAAACGCACGCGCGCGCAAGTGCGACGTATCTACAGTTATGCAGTGGCTGTGCTGTATGGCCAATTCCCTCTGCTAGAACGGCGCTCTGCTGTAGTCGAGACACGTTTTTCACAATGTCTCGCAGATGGCACACAGGCACACACACGTGCGCGCGCGAATAGTACATATTAGGTTTTGATCTAAAGCAAGAGTCGCATGGCCTCCAAGATACACGCAGTGTGCTCGACATTTCGGAGGCTATAAAGAGACCTGGAGACTTACAAAGAGGCTTCAGCTTAAATTGAGGACGACGCAGTGAGCAATGGAAAGAAAAATGGTAGGTGTAACCTTAAGAGACAAGAAGAGAGCAGAGTGGATTAGGGGACAAACGGGGGTTAAGGATATCATAGTTGAAATAAAGAAGAGGAAATGGACATGGGCCGGGCATGTAGCGCGTAGACAGGATAACCGCTGGTCATTAAGGGTAAGAAACTGGATTCCCAGAGAAGGCAAGCGGGTTAGGGGGAGACAGAAGGTTAGGTGGGCAGATGAGATTAAGAAGTTTACGGGTATGAATTGGCAGCAGCAACCACAGGACCGGGTTAACTGGCGGAACATGGGAGAGGCCTTTGTCCTGCAGTGGACGTAGTCAGCCTGATGATGATGATGACAATGCCTCACAGATGGCAGCACACTATCTAGCGTTTGCTTGATCAACGCTTCTGGAAAGGCATGATATGTTTTCCGCTAGATAGACATAGTTGTCCATTTTTAAAGCTGTTTGAAAGTTCTTTTGTGTTTCTAGCGGCGATGGCTGCACTATCCCGGCCTTTTTCGACGTAATTTGATGGCCTCCCCAATGCGCCTACAAATCTCCGAATGGGGTCGTTTTCGTCGTGACACCTGTCGAATAAAATGCGTTTAAAGAGACTCCTACACCACTACATGGCATTTATGTAGTGTGTTTTTTTCCCCGAAGCAGCTGCAAGTAACACCGTGGCTTTGTGGTAGGACGCCTGCTTGCGCAGTGAATGGCCAGGGTTAGAACCTCAATTTAACTGAAAATTTAGCGCTTCATTTTATTTGCTTCCTTCTCGGTTTTTCGCTCACAACCACTGGTGCCGACGGCGGATTTCTGCGACACGAGCTCTCTAAGGCTGTCGCGTTAGAAATCTGGAGGCGATGCTGTAGCCCCGCTGCGGCGGCCTAGTGGCCAAAGTACTCGGCTGCTGACCCGCAGGTCGCGGGTTCGAATCCCGGCTGCGGCGGCTGCATTTCCGATGGAGGCGGAAATGTAAGCCCGTGTGCTCAGATTTGGACGCTCGTTAAAGCACCCGAGGAGGTCGAAATTTCCGGAGCCCTCCAGTACGGCGTCTCTCGTAATCATATGGTGGTTTTGGGACGTTAAACCCCACATATCAATCAAGGCGACACTGTAATAGTCTAATTAGATGTCTGATAGCAGCACTGTCCGCCCCCGCGGAGCAGTGGTTGTGGTGCTCGGATGCTGACTTGAAGGTCGCATGTTCCATAGTAGCCTTTGTGGAATTCATTATTGTGGAATGGAAAGCGAAATTCTACTTACAAAAAAAAAGAGGGGTTTGCATTGACTCTAAGGTTGCCCCCGTCTTCAGCACTATCAAATGCGAAGCATTTCTTTGCGATCTTCGGCGACTTTGAGCGTATCTATCTATATCTATCTAGCTGCCAACGACTTTTAATTCTCCTGGCCGTTTTGATAATGGTATCGATAAAAAACTTGGTATGGCATAACATGACTGATGGAAAACATATTTGACTAGTCGTAACATGAAAATCACGACATGTATGTCATGATTTATATTCATGGTCCTGCAGCTCTTGCGGTGGTTTCGTTCACATGGCATGTTGCAAAACTGGTATGGTAAGGCATGATTGCATGGCGAACACAGGCGACAGACCCTAACATTAAAATCATGACATGCGTGTCACGTAACAATATGACTACATGCCATGCACTCGCGGCCGTTTCGCTAGCTTCACATACGCGAAATTTGGTTATTGCGTGACGCCAATGAATGACGAAGGTATGTGACTGGTGCAAACATGATAATCATGAGATACGTGTCATGTGATAATATGACTACATGCCACTGTCAAGGCGCCAATACATTTCGACGTGACGCGGTGCGCGTGCTCGCCGGCGCTCATTTCGTCGCGTCACGCCGGCGTTGTGACGTCAGGCGCCGGTCCTGCCACATACTCGCAGGCGCGCACCGCGCTGCGTTGCTTTGACGTATGCGCGTTTCTGCGCGTCCGGCTTCCCTCCGTCACGAAAAGAGGCAGACGCAGTGCTGTCTGGGTAATGCATCGGCGTGAAATGCAGCATGTCGCATTTCGCGCCGGTTGCCGTCGGGCCGCGCTTGGCGTGAGACTATGGAGTGCTCGAGGGGTTTTGCTGACGTAGCGTCGTTGTGCCCAGCGTGCGCGCGCGTCAGTGCTACATTGAACTTTATATCGGGCCCTTCATGATGTGCTCGCGGCCGTTTTGCTAGCTCCACATATACCAAATTTGGTGTTGCGTCACGTCAATGGATGACGAGATATATGACTGGTGCAAACGTGATAATCCTGACACGCGTGTCATGTAAGAACATGACAACATACCACGCTCATAGCGTGCTCGCGGCCGTTTCGCTAGCTCCACATATACTAAATTTGGTATCACGTGACTCGTGAATAGATGACGAAGGTAAACGACACATCCAAAAATGGTAATCATCACACGGAAGTCATGTACGGCATCATTTACCTCCACCTCGTAAGGTTGTGCTGATTTTAAAGCGACATATCAACATTTCTCATTCGTGCTTCTTTACGTGGGATCTGCCAATTTTTTTTTGGCAGGAATTGATAACAGATTAACGAAATTTGGGAACTGCATGTGGCAACAAACGTACATTTGTAGATGACTTTCTTGCGTTCATCACTCCAGGTTGTTTGGAACACAACGTCTCCAATGTTTCGAAAATGTTTCGAGAGCACATCGTGGGTTAAAACTCACAGTGGAATTACTGAAGAAAAATAATTACAGTTTTAGATTTAAGGCTAACGTCTGAAGATAACTATATGGGCTGATCGTACCTTCCACGTTCAAAAATTTGAAAATGGGCATTGCAGTGTCTTGCCTACGGGACGCGATAGCCAAATCGTGTCTAGACAACTGCCCGGAAATTTCAGCAATAAACTACAAACGTTAACACATGTTGGTTTTCCGCGAACAGTCACGCGCGAGGTAACTCAGAAGTTATTAAAGAACATGAAACCAGCTTGCGGGGCACAAGAAACAGAAAATAAAATGTCGCACACATCTGAACCCGTAGGACGCTCTATAGGTGCCGACCAGTGCGGACGCGCGAAGATCGGCTCCTGCTTTCAAGAATGCTTTCCTGTGGTATTCACGAATTTGTCGCCGAGTTTTTTTAGTCCCATCGTATGCCTAAGTTCTCAAGAAATCAGCAGATACCACCTTTGTGCTGGTGAGTGGAATTTTAAACCGTTTTTTGGGACATTTTTATACGGCCACGCCACCGGGAGATTTAAGCCTAACCAAGGAGGCGATTGTCGCCGATGCGCCGGCCCGGCGCAACGCGACTCAACGCTCTGCGCGTTTCAGGATTTGCAACTGAGAATGGAATACCAAGTAGATGGAGAGGACATCTCTCCAGAGGATTGCACGGAAGACATGGGTTGGAAGGAAGCCGAAACGAGACGCTCAAGGAATAAGTAAGCCGCGGTTAGCGTTCCTGCTGCCAAGGGTTCGACCAAGGCTGGCGTTGCAGGAGACGCTCGAGCCTGTCGTAGTAGGTATGACACCAAGCATACAATCGTGCGAGCTGGACGCATGCCGACACTACCTAAGGACTTCAGCAAAATTGTGCTACGACCACGTGGAGGATTAAATATCTCGAGAATTGGCACTGGAGCCGTGGCAGACGCGATAGTACTGGCGGCCGGCATCAAAGAGGAAGAGGCCATGCAGGACACCATCTGTTCCAACTTGCAGCAGAACATTATGGTGGCAAGCACTCCGGACCAAGACAGAGCTTCAAGATACCTCAAGGTCAAGCAAATTGACATTGGAGGCAAAGTTTCGAGGTTAGCGCGTACGCCGCGGCACCCCACAATACTTGTAAAGGAGTGATTCGCGGCATCCCCGTAAGCGATACTCAGGACATTTTGACCCGAAAGATTGTGAACGCGAACAACCCGCTCGCGCTGCAGGCCAAGAGAATCAAGAACACCGGGACAATCATCATAGCGTTCGAAGGAGGCAAGGTGCCCAGATTCGTGAGATATGGACCTTCACTTTTGCAGTGCTCCCTTTACCGCAAGAACATCGATATTTGTTACGTCTGTGGAAAGCTGGGACATCGGTCTGACGTCTGTCCGAACCCAGCTGAAACAATCTGCAGAGGCTGCGAGATCAAGAACCCCAGATAGCCTGCACCAGTGTAATCCAAGATGCAGGCTGTGCGACGGTCACCATCCCACGGCAGACAAGGAGTGCAAGAACAGGTTCTTAGTGCCATACGTCGTCAGACGCAGGCGTTGGGAAAGATCGCGAGCAGCTGCAGAAGCCCGGGACGCATCAATCACATCGAGTCCAGACATCAAGGACAAGGAGCTTATTCCTACCTACGGGACCCAGAGCATCCAGACTACACAATAACAGGAAAGGCGGCCCCACTCCAGGGGGAGGTCGCGTTCCAGAAGAGGTTCTAGACCCAAGGCCCGCTCCCTATCACGGGGGCGCTCGAGTT